TTATATCGCAAATATTATGCCCCTGGCGCTCTGTTGTGAGATTGAAGTCCACAAGAAGGGACTAAAGTGCATTTGGGTAACTAGGGGAATAAGTCCCTTGATGACAACTTCGGCAGTCGTCAGTCATAATTTCAGTCAACCCTAGCAAATGACGTAATGTGTAGCTCTGCGGCGTATGATGGCAGATCAATAGGGAGCAAAGGCGATGGACCAGTCGCAGATTATACAAAAACTGGGTATGGCGTCGTACGCAGGAATTTTCGCTTTATGCTTAAACCCCTAGTGGTTTCTTAACTAGGTTTGTGGGTAATCACGCGTTATGAGCACCCTGCTTTCCGACACGGCATCTCCATCATTATGAAGATTCATATTTGCCGTGTATCCGTCCGGTCTGTCCTTCTCCATCACATGTATTGAACCTCTCCACACGCAACGATTTGTAGCACTGGATCTGTAAAAATCTAGCTATTCTCTTTTCCAACGACGGATACCAAAGGTCCAAAAACCGCTTCCATGTATTGACGAACTAGGTCAAGCCAGGTCTTAAGTTGACTTCCTACTCAACCCCCCTCAGGTGGACGACGGCACCAGGCTCAGTGTAGTACAATTGAGGTCGTGAGGGGAACGGTGGAGAACGTGCCCGAACCACTACTGCTTAAGGATCATCCTTCGAGTCAAGTACACTGACCTCGCCTCAAATGAAACAGTCCGCACTCGCTGTAACGTCACAAGGATATCACAAGCCACCCAAGAAAGACAACCGAGGTGGGTATCATACTTATTACTCTGACCAAGTTCTGCACTTAACGTTTTGTGCAAAGGATGCAGTAAAAAGGGGCACTTCCAAAAGGGTTGCGTGAGATAGCGAAACTGACGTCTTCTCTATTATTTCCACCATTTACGTCGTAGCATCGACTGCTGCTCCTACCAACATTTCAAGAGCAGTGGTTGAACTACAAATAAACGGGGCTGATGTTCAGGCCTCAATAGACAGACCAAACTCTGAGTTGTCTCGTTTTCAGTAGTACTCAGAAGTAATTGTAAAATTCATCACTTTCGTACCAAAATATTCATGGCCACCATTGTTCTAATCAGCGTCACGCAAGGACACGTTGTCTCGATTAAATATGAAGGTGCTGTCTACGAAGCCAAGCTTCCCGTCTTGTCGGATTTATGTGGCGATAACCTACTCGGTCATGACCTTTTTTGGGCTAAACGAAAGCGTCGAAATTTATTTTGGTGGACCCAAGCCTAGGTTTTCGCCGTGTTCTGTGGTTTTCGGCTGCGTCTAGCTTCCTCGCTTGCTGCCTTATATAAACCACGACTGCGAGCTAATCGCGACAAAATCTCGTAGACACACTGACTTTGATGAAAGGTTTGTTCGAGAAGACCAGTTTATATCTCACTGCAAGTCTGCTGTTTTTCACTGTAGTTCCAATACGCCAATTGTAAGATGAATAAGGCCCACTTCTCAGGTACTTTTCTCTCCTAACTCGCTTGTCTGTTTCGTCCGTGCTACCCAATTGAGTGACTGTGCATTCTCCGACTGCAAAAATGGGGTGTGCACGCTCTTCACCGTCCACCTCAAGAGGTTAGTGTTACTGTCCACGATCCGGTACCGTGATCTACTTGGAGACGTCAAAGAGGGGATCAAATCAAAACTCGACACAGTTCACCGAGGTACGAAATTGGCCCTTAGACCCTTGATTTTCACCTCTACCGTTGGCGAAAAGAATGGGTTAAACTGCTCATATCTGCTGCCGCGGATCGTCAGGGGTAGAGGCGTACAATCCGTAATTTTATCGGACTAGTCAGACCAGACAGGGTCGCAGCCGTACCAAGAACGGGTGTTCCGCGAATCAGCCATATTTGCACAAACGCCCTAATCCAGTAAGGTAGAATATTGGCCGCACTTTTATTCTCGTATGTAGACAGAAGTCCTTCCGCAAACGTTTACATTCTTATTGGAGTTCAAATAGCGGCGCATGTTAGAATACGTCTCACTTTTTAGATAATCGGAGGAAACTGTTGAGTAAGATGTGAGATGAGTGAAGCTATTCACACAATAACAAAAAGTGAGATGCCATTAATTGAAAGACTACAGTATTTGAAAACGGCAAATTTATGAAAGAGGTAACATCCGTGGTTGGAAAACGACTTCAGTTGCTGACTTATTATTTTACCTTAGCAAGAGTAAAAGGTTCCATCAAGAAAAAGTGCAGAACGGTGAATATAAAGCTAAGGGTTGCCATAGTCTAATTCACTTAGGGACGCTAGGTAATAAGTACATGCCGAAACATTTCTTGACAATATATTGTCGCCCTTATAATAGTATAATAATTAAGGGTGCAAGATCACCCTACTAATTAAATATTCCGAAAATTACCTGAGTTAGTGCTGAACACTCCACATATTTACATGCACCGATGTCCCGAGCTAGTTTTTCTCCTGCTGAGGGTTGGATTGGTTTTTGCTTATTTTTCGCCAACTTTTCGATAGTGACTGGGTCGTCGCGTAAATCGATTTGAGTTCCAACTAGCAGAATTGGGACGTTTGGGCAGTGATGCTGAAGTTCCCCGTACCACTGAAGTGATAAAATAGATATGTGAAGGTAGTACAAGAAGTTATGTTAGTTTTCTGCTGCCAGTATAAGGGCTCCGCTTCCATTTAAAACAGGAGAATAAATACAACGCAAGATAGACAAATAATTTAAGGTGAGCTAACATATGGACGCCCACATAAATAATTCGTACACGAATGTATCATAGTAGATGCCTTCTTGAAAAGTAAGACTAAAAGCCCAAGGTAGAATTAGTACATGAATAAACAACGAAAGGCAATAGATAACGGACGAAGCCGCATCGATACATCAGAATAATGACATGAATAGATGGGCAATTTTACTCCCAAAGCTTTCAAAAATTCCACCGGCTGCTCAGTGGAACCACGAAGTCAGGAGTGATCACGACTGTTGATATGCACTGTAAAAAACGTTAAGTAGATAACCGAAAGGATGGAAATCTTCTAATATCAAATTTCTTCTAGCAGCTTGTAGAACACTAACATACTTTTTCATTACAAATGTCCTCTTAGGGCGCCGCATAAGATATTTAACGGAACATCGGTTGCCGTAATGACTAGGAAAACAATTAATATCTCCAATTAAAGCATGGTAACCCGTGAAGTTGACTAAATTGCTGGACATTCGAAGAATCGAAAAAAACTGAGTAAAACCATTAATAAATTATCGATGTTACACGTTACAAGGCAAAAGTACCTTCTCTTTGGCGTTTTCATAAGAAGCAGGGTTGACCACGGAGAAGCAAATCAAGAATATATCTGTTTGCGGGTAACTAAGCGGCCGCAATCTATCAT